TTTATAGTTTCCTGTCTTACATTCAAGTCGTTTAGACATTTTGACTTTGTTTTTGTGTATGGTGTAAGATGGTGATCTAGTTTCATGTATCTGACCAAATTTTTTTGCATGTATCTGACCAAATTTCCCAGCACCATTTATTATAGAGGGTTTTTTGACTCCATTGTATGTTCTTGCCTCCTTTGTCAAATATTAATTGAGTATAATGGCTTGGGTCAATTTTTAGATCCTCTATTCTGTTCCATTGGTCTATATGTCTGTTCTTGTGTCAGTACCAGGCAGTTTTGAGAACCATGGCTTGGTAATATAGTTTTATGTCTGGTATTGTGATCCTTCCAACTTTGTTCTTCTTTCTCAGGGCAGCTGTGGCTATTTGGGGTCTTTTTTAATTCCAGATGAATTTTTGGAGAGTTTGTTCTAGATCTTAGAAATATGCCACTGGTATTTTAATAGGTATTGATTGCATTGAATCTATAGATTGCTTTAGGTAGTATGGACATTTTAATGATGTTGATCCTACCAACCCAGGAACATGGTATGTTTTTCCATTTGTTTATGTCTTTCTCTATCTATTTTTTCAATGTCCTGTAGTTTTCTGAGTACAGGTCTTTTATGTCCTGTAGTTTTCTGAGTACAGGTCTTTTATGTCCTCAGTTAAGTTTATTCCTAAGTATCTTATTTTTTTTGGTGCAATGGTAAATGGGATTGTTTTTTTTGCTGCTCTGTGAGTTCATTATTAGTGTATAAAAAGGCCATAGATTTCTGGGTGTTAACTTTATATCCTGCTACTTTGCCAAATTCACTTATTAGGTACAGTAGTTTTTTAATGGAGTCTTTGGGGTTTTTTATGTATTGTAACAGGACAGTTTTACTTCTTCTTTTCCAATTGGATGCCTTTTATTTCTTGTCTGATCACTATGGCTAACACTTCCAGTACTATTTCAAACAGGAGTGGTGAGAGTGGGCATCCGTGTCTTCTTCCCGTTTATAGGGGAAACGAGTTTAGTTTTTGCCCATTGAGTTTGATGTTGGCTGCAGGTTTGTCATTTAAGGCTTTCATTATGTTGAGGTATGGTCCCTCTATTCCCACTTTGCTGAGAGCTTGTATCAAGAAAGGGGG